CAATATAGTGATTCATATTTAAAGGTTATACTCCATTTATAGTTATTACAAAATATTGGCTATACTCCCCGTGTTGTACAATATATCCTTGTAGCTTATTTCATACATAATAGTTTGTACCTCCTACTCCCCTACCCCATCTTACCCCTCCCCCCTTCCCTCTCCCCCCTGGTTTGTTCTCTAGATCTGTGAGTCTGTTTCTTTTTTGTTTTATTCACTAATTTGTTGTATTTTAAAAATTCCACATATAAGTGATATCATATAGTATCTGTCTTTCTCTGTCTGACTTATTTCACTTAACGTGATACCATCTAAGTCCATCCATCTTGTTGCAAATGGCATTATTTCATTCATTTTTATGGCTGGGTAGTATTCCATTGTGTGTGTGTGTGTGTGTGTATATATATATATATATATACCACATCTTCTTTATCCATTCATCTGATGGACACTTATGTTGCTTCCATATCTTGGCAACTGTACACAATGATACTATGAACATTGGGGTGGAGAAGTTCTTTGTGGACTGTTTGGAATTTGAAATGCTCATTGGACATCCAGTGGAGAAGTCAACAAGTGGTTGAAAATACAGGTCTGGAGATGTAAGTCTGGGAGTCATCTATGGTAGATGGTATGTACAGCTGTTGCTCTGGATGAGGTGCCCTCCCTAGAGACCGTGGCTTAAGAAGAGAAGGGGGCCCGGGTTTGGACCCTCAGATGTTCCAAAACTTAGCCAACAGTCAAAGAGATGGACCACTGTCATCAACACACATCTGTCCTGTTTGAGGGACTGCCCGGTAAGCGTTCATAATCACACAAGAACCAGTCGAAGCAAGTAGTTTAACTTACACTCAGATACAGGTAGAGAAGAACCCGGAATGTCCAACCTCTGGAGGAGATTTTGTCATGTCAGTCTGGGGTTCTGGAAGCCTATGGTAGGAGGGGTGTGGAGTCAGAGAATAGGGGGGGCATGGGAGGCCCTAGGCATCCTTCCTCTGGTCAGTATAGCCAGGCTTTGTAACCTTCTAGGTGTGGTTGTATCAGAATGTAAGAGTCACGGGTGAGAGGCAGTGCAGTGTGGCGGCCAAGAGCTTGAATACTGGAGTCAGTCTGCTTGGGGAGAATCCTTGTTCTGACACTTAGCTGCATAGACGTAGGCAAGATAAGTAATCTTTCTGCACCCGATTTATTCTTCTTTAAAAGGGAATAATATCAATCGATTCCACTTCTGGTTATATGTCCTAAAGAACTGCAAGAAGGAACTCAAAGAGATATTTGTACATTCATGTTCACAGCGGCATTATTCCCTATAGCCAAAAGGCAGAAGCAACCCAAGCATTCATCAAAAGATGAATGAATTAAAAAATGTGATATATACATATAACAAAATATCGTTCAGCCTTGAAAAGAAAGGAAATTCTGACATGGGGTACAACGTGGATGAACCTTGTAGACATTATGTTAAGTGGGATAAACCAGCCACGAAAGGACAAATACCGTATGATTCCACTGATATGAGGGCCTAGAGTACTCAAACGCATGGAGACAGAAAGTAGATGGTGGTTTCCAGGAGCTGCGGACAGGAGAAAAGGGGATTTGTTGTTTAACGGGAACAGAATGTGTATAGAATGTGAACGTCATGCCACATGGGTACACTCAAAAATGGTTATGTGTACACTTTAAAATGTACATTTAAAAATGGTTAAAATGGTAAAATTTGTTATGTCTACTTTACTGCAATGGAAAAACAAGGAAGGGGGATGATAATATGTGCCTGGTAGGTTTACTGGGAGGCCTAGCTGAGCTGATACACATAAAGACCATGGAGCAGGGCCCAATGAATGGCAGTTACTGTAACTTTGTGAATACATTCACCTTAAAAAGATGATCATTTTATGGACAGCTGTTCTCACGAGTCCACCCTCTGGGCACATCCCCTGCATGACCCGTAGGTGGCCCTCCAATTGCCACCGTAAATACTGCTGAAGTGTCTCTCATTTTTCTCGGGAAAACAGACAGAATTGTTTAAGTAGATCTCAGCAGTTTTTAACCTTAGTTATAAATCCATCCATTTTGTTGACAAAACTTGAGCCAGGACACAGCTGACAACACTTAGAAGTGCCCCAGCCACTTGTTTATTGTATGGTCCAGGGAAGCTGGGTCATCCAGGTCTCCCTGGATGTCAGGGGACACATCCCAGCCGGCCTGGAGAGGGTGGAGCCTGGGAGGCACACTCCAGCTTCAAGGCCTGCTGGGTCTGTGTGGTACCCCTCCTCCTGGCTCTCAGATCCTCTTGTAAGGATCCCAGTGGTGTTGTTTATCAGATCATCACAGACACGCTCAGAGTCACGTTTAACCAAATATCCGGGCACCCTGTGGCCCAATCAAGTTGACGCACAAAATCATCCATCACGAATCTCACATGAATCAGCGAGAAAAATGTCCTGGTTTACAAACACAGTTCAGGACCTGGAAAGGGAACCAGGCTGAGCTCAATTTTAGGTCCAGAAAGGACTTCAGAGGGCATCCTATAGAACCTAGTGTTTAAGAGTTCGAAGTGCTGAAGTGTTTTGCTCAGATATGTAGAGCTACTTAGTGGTGGAGACCCAGGTGCCCTCAAATGAATGAGCCATGGCTTATTATGATAATAACAAGTTAACACATACTGAACCTCACCGTTTTCTGTTCATCTCCTGTATTAATGCATTTAATAACACATGAGCCCTGAATTTGACCAATGGGGATGCTAAGGTTGGGCCACTAAGGGGCAGAGCCAGGAATCAAACACATGCATTCTGGTTCCAGACCTTGTGCCCTTAGCCACCGTGCTAGAAGATCTGGCTGATTTGCCTGAGAGCAGTGCATGGGTCCAGGAAAACTTTTTATGAGGCATGAGCTCAGTTGGAACTTGAGTGGCCGCTGTGGGCTGTGTGAGTTTGGCCAGTTTTGGCCTCTATGAACTTTTTGAATTGGATTCAACAGATCAGTCTGTTCTCTAAAAGGAAAAGGAGCGCATTTGCTATTGGAGTTTCATTAAAAGGAGTTTCTGGCCCCTTTACTATACCTTCAAAAGAGGATATGCTTTCTTGCATGAGTCATCACTGCTGCTTTTCAAGAACATGGGACCGATCCTTATTCTGAAAGCTGTCAGCTGCCCTGTGATGTAGGAAATGAATCAGGCGAAATAAGATTTCAATACCAGGGAAACGACTCAGTTTACTGCCCTCCAGGGACAAACAGGAAGCTCTGCTTCCTTCCCCTACAAACAGACTCACATAGCCTTTTCTTTTTCCCTTTTTAAAATGAATCTGGAGTTTCCTTCCCACATTCCCATATATGTTTTGCCCCCATTCATGTTTTACCCATCAATGGTATTTTACTTTTATTTCTTAAAAGCACACTGTTTTAGATCAAGTCCCCAGAAGCAGGACCGGAGAGAGATATTTTTGGGAAAGTGATTTATTAAGAGAGTGCTCTCCAGAAAAAAAACCTAAGGGAGAGAGGGAAGCGGGATGGAGCGAGGGAAAGGCTGGGGCCCAGCCAGGATGCAGTCTCAAGTCAAGTGTAGATTTGGCTTAATCCACAGGGCGAAGGTTCTAGAATATAAACCACACTGCAGCGCTGACCCACCTTGAGGCAAGGGGTCAGCTGTGTACACAGTACCACTCAGTTCGTGGCCTTGGGGGACTCCCCTCCATGTCAGCGAAGGGTCATTCTCCAGACCCTGAGGGCTCTGGCCGGCGGTGGTTCTGGCTTGGGCATCACAGCTTCCGTTTCACACATGTGGTTTCATTGCTCAGCATCCAACACCATTTCCCCATAACTTCCCTCCTCCTCCGCTTCTTCCTGTGCATTACACAGCGGTTACCAAATCAGCACGGGCAGAAGCGTGGAGGGGCTGGCAAGACAGGGGAGGTGGCGGCTGCTAGGGAACCAACTCCCAGTGGCCATTTGCTCTGTTCCTAACTCACCGTGCACCTGGCCTGGTGTTCAGTCTGCAGATGTGAAAAATCAGAGTGGGGCAGCAGGAAGGGAAGTTGGAAAACATCTGGTCTGCAGGTGGACAGACCCTGTGGGTGCCGTGCTTGTGGTGTGCGTCGAATGCGTGACAAAATCAGGGCTGGGACTCAGGTCTCCTGACTTGAGGATGGGGCTCTATTCCCAGCAGCCCGCTGCCTGTGCTGCCTTCTCAGACCGGCTACTTACGCTGTCTGCCCCGCCCACCTCCCCCCTCTCCCGGAGATATTATTTGCAGAGCGACAACCCTGGAGAGAGTCCCTTAGTGCACGCTTAGTGTCATCAAAGTATGGGGCACGGGGACTTCCCTGGCGGTCCAGTGGTTAAGACTCTGTGTTTCCAATGCAGGGGGTATGGGTTCGATCCCTGGTCGGGGAACTAAGATCCCACATGACGAATGGTGTGGCCAAAAAACAAACAGACAAAAAAAAAAAAACACAAACAAATACATGCAGGTCATTTCATTAAAAAAAACAAAGGGATGGGGCACATGGCAAGGGAATGAGAATAGACAGGACAGAGATAAGTTGACGTGAGATTCTTCAGATTCTCCGATCACATGTGATAGAGCTTTCTGTAGGGCCTGGGTAACCAATGGAGATTTTTAACAAGAGGAATGATGGAATCGGTTGGTTTGGGGGGAAAGTGGCAGTATGGAATATGAACCAAGAGAGAAAAAGATGGCAGACGATTTTTAGCAAGTTAGGCAAGATATGGGGAGGGCCTACACTAAGATGTCTTTCAGCATAGGTGCTGGGTGGAGAGTTGAGCAGGAGAGCCAAAAAGCCAGGGATCTGATGCAAACAACTCCCCAAACTGCATCTTTAGGTCAAATAGGGGGTACCACCGAGAGCGCTTCCTAAAAGTCTCTTGCATGTGTTTCTCAGAAGGAAGAGGTAGGTGATTCCATGGCCAACACCATCAGCGAGGGGTTGTATTAGGTTCCTAGGGCTGCTGTAACAAAGCACCACCAACCGGATGGCTCGAAACAACAGAAATTTATTCTCCCAGGGTTCTGGAAACTAGAAGGTCAAAATTCAGGTGTCAGCGGGGCTGGCTTCTTCTGGAGTTTCTGAGAGAATCTGAGGGAATTTCCACGCCTCTCTCCGAGCTTCTGGTGGCTCCTGGCATTCCATGGCTTGTAGATGCATCACTCCAATCTCTACCTCCATCACTACACGGTGTCACCTCCTGTGTGTGTCTTCGTCCTCAGCCTAATCTAATGGGGCCTCATCTTAGCCTGATCACATCTGCAAAGACCCTAACTCCAAATAAGGTCACACACAGGTACCAGATGTTGGGACTTGGACATGTCTTTCTGGGAGACACACTTCAATCCACACAGGTGTGTTATGCCTACTCCAGTTGAAAGTTTCAGACAACCTCTGGCTTAAGAGGAAGAAAGGGACTTGACCTACTTGCGTAATTTGAAGAACAAGGGCTTGGCTCTGCCGTCCTCAGTGTTGCTTCATTGTCTAGAAGGATCTCTCCTGTGGGTGGCTAAGATTACCCTCCACCCACCCTGACCACATCCAGATTTACAAAGGTAATCTCGGAAAAAAGATCTCCCCCCTAAATCCATGGCCACCTTTCCAGAGGAGTCATGGGTCACACTCCCATCCTTGGAGGCAACTTGCCCAAATCATAACAACTGAAGCGGATTATCATGGAATGTGTGTGTGAGGGGGAACTCCCCAAAGGGCTGCTGGGCAACGTTCTTTCTCTGCCTCTGCCCAAGTGACGGCAAGCGGAGAGCCCCAGGTGTAAATACCAGCTGCTTCCTGGCCATCTTGATTTTGTGGGCAACCTACATGATGGATAGACATTGCATCTGTTGACTTCTGTTCATGTGGTTCTGATGGACGCATCTCTGTCCAGCCTTTAATCTGATCAGGAATCTGGCATTTGTCCCCGTTTCCTCATCTGCCTGCAAGAGATAAGAGCCAGTGGGAGAGGTTGCCTAATGAATGAGCTGAGCTGTCTGCTGTCAGTGCCTCTAGGGCCATGACACTGGAGGTGGCTGGCCACTGGGCGCTGTTCCTTGCATCATGTCCTTTGGGACTGCCCACCACCCATCACGTTCTCCCTTCACAGGCCTCCTGGGGGTGCGGGGAACCTAGTCTGCTCCCAACTGGCCGGCTCCTACCTCTCTCAGCACAGGCAAGCAAGAAGCTAAAAACATCTTGAGGTCCATACCTGGGTCACGGCTCCATAAACATCCTGCTACCAACACCGCCATCGCGCTCAGCATCTGAGCTGGAAAACTGCCCTACTTCCCTCCAGCTGGCTTTTCTTCTACGCTGCTCAGCCTAAGAGTTCCCTGACCATAGGCCAACAGAACTAGGAAAAGCCTCAGGGACAACTAGTCCAGGCCCCTCCCGGTATGGACGGTGGCGAGATGTTCATTTTCACCCTCGTTCGCCTGCGGGGCGATGGAGGAAGGGAAGCCTTGCCGTGCCTTGACCAGCACGGGCCTCCTGGACCGGGATGACCCGCGGCCCCTCTGGATGCCTGTCTTCCCTTTGTCCCAGGCGAACAGCCCTCCTCCCCTCGCCCCGCCACTTGGCACTCGCTTTTCCACCATGAAGAGAAATAAAGGAGACTTCCTTTAAAATGGAATCGGGCAGCTCTGAAAGGGGAGCTCTCACACACTCAGCCTAGGTCACCAGCAGGGAGAACAAAAGATGAGAATTATTCTGACAAGGGAGGGCATTTTCCACCCGGGGATTTTATCTCCTGTTTTTAAGAATAAGAAGGAAGAGCCCTCCCTGCTCCAGCAACAGCGCTCCAGCCACCCCTGGCAGCTGAAGAGAAACCGCCACAGCCTTGAACTCTCGTTCTCCTCCAATAACCTCTTGCTTAAAACAACCCTCCCCAGTTTCCTCCTGTAACCTTAATGAAAGCTGACCTTCCCTTTGTCTTTTTTGAATTGCCCATGGGTCACCAAAGCTTCCTTGTCCTTCATGGCAATTCCCCCATTCTTCCAGAATGAACTTCATTTTGCTTTTTCTAATTTGTCAATTTTTTTTTTTAAGGTTGATACCACTCACGTTCTCCTCTTTAGGACCTCCCATAGGGTGAAACAAAATATGAATATTCTCATGAACAATATCATCGTTAACAAAATAATAATAATATGCATCCCCATGTGCCAAGCCCTGTATTTAGTCCTGTAATATATCTCTACTATTCAGGTGAACACACTGAAGTTCAGAGAGAGGTTGAGTAATAGGTCCATGTGCACAAACCTAGGGTGTGAAAGGACTGTCAGACCCGAACTCCGAGGGGGTGGCCTCAGGCCACACAGGCGGTGGGAAAGAGGTGAATATGACTATGGCTCCTTTTCTGTCTTCTCCTTGGCATCACCTGCATTTGTCCCCTGTTCCTGGCCATCTCCTATAGGCAATTTTCCTTAATTAGAAAAAAAAATCCTTTATTTTTTCATTTTTCACTGCTTTTTAATTTTTGAAATATTAATTTTTGCCTTCTCGTCCTTAATTTCTTCCTTTTGATTCCCTTAAGTTTCTCTTTCAAATGTAAAGTTTCTCAGTGTTATTTCCTAAAGAATCTATCATTTCAGCTTGAGTTTCTCTTTGACCCAAGAGTTAAAGAGAGGGCTCTTAAGATTTCCAAATGGTTAACCTTTCCTGACTAATGACTAGTTGTTTTTGTTTGTTTTTTTCTTTGCGGTACGCGGGCCTCTCACCGTTGTGGCCTCTCCCGTTGCGGAGCACAGGCTCCAGGATGCACAGGCTCAGCGGCCATGGCTCACGGGCCCAGCCGCTCCGCGGCATGTGGGATCTTCCCGGACCGGGGCACGAACCTGTGTCCCCTGCATCGGCAGGCAGACTCTCAACCACTGCGCCACCAGAGAAGCCCAACTAGTTTTTTTTTGTTTGTGTGTTTTGATGGTGGGATGGGGGTGGGCGGGACGGTTACTTGTGTAAGTGTGTTTGTGTGTGTTTAGGAGAAACTTGTTTATTTGACCTGCATTAATTGACATCAGCTGTGTGAGGGCATACGTTGACCTCCACAGGAAACACAGAGGCAGGTAAGGCAACTCTCATAGAGAATCAAGTCTCGATTACTTGCATCAGCTTCCAAGGCTTTTAGTTTTCTTTTCTTGTTTGTTTTTTTTTGTTTTCATTTTTTAATTGAGATATAATTGACATATAACATCGTATTAGTTTTAGGTGTATAACGTGATTTGATATATGTATATATTGTGAAATGATTACTGCAGTACCTTTAGCTAACATTCTTCACCTCACATAGTTACAAATCTTTTCTTGTGATGAGAACTTTTAAGATCTAGTCTATGAGCAACTTTCAAATACACAATTACTAGTGTGTTAACTACTAGTTTTTATTGCATTGCTGTTAGATATTGTGACCTGTACAATTTCTACTTTTGAAATGCATAAAGCTTTTTAAAAAGAATACATATTCTCTGTAAAAGTAAATAGAAAGCTCTTAAAACTATTAAACTCGACATAGAAGACAAACTTATGGTACCAAAGGGGAAGGGGGGAGGGATAAATTTGGAATTTGGGATTAACAGACACACATTACTAAATATAAAATAGATAAACAACAAGGACCTACTGTACAGGACAGGGAACAGTATTCAATATGTTGTAATAACTTATAATGGAAAAGAATCTGAAAAAGAATAAATATATATGTATCTATAACTGAATCACTTTGCTATACACCTGAAACAGTGTAAATCAACTATACTTCAATAAAAATGTGGGTACAAAAAAATTTTAGATTAGAGCCTAAAAATAATGAACTATAAAACTCTTGAGAAGATGACATAGGGAAAAAGCTTCATGACATGGGATTTGCCAATGATTTCTTGGGTATGACACCAAAAGCACAGATAACAGAAGGAAAATTAGATAAATTGGACTTCATCAACATTACACACTTTTGTGCCTCAAAGGACAGTATCAACAAAATGAAAAGGCAACCTACAAAATGGGAGAAAATATTTGCAAATCATATATCTGATAAGGAATTAATATCTAGAACATGTAGCAGACTCCTACAACTCAACAACAAAAAAAAACAATACAATTCAAAAGTGGGCAAACCATCATCAAAAAATCTAGAAACAATAAATGCTGGAGAGGGTGTGGAGGAAAGGGAACACTCTTGCACTGTTGGTGGGAATGTGAATTGATACAGCCACTATGGAGAACAGTATGGAGGTTCCTTAAAAAACTACAAATAGAACTACCATACGACCCAGCAATCCCACTACTGGGAATATACCCTGAGAAAACCATAATTCAGAAAGAGTCGTGTACCAAAATGTTCACCGCAGCTCTATTTACAATAGCCAGGAGATGGAAACAACCTAAGTGTCCATCATCGGATGAATGGATAAAGAAGATGTGGCACATATATACAATGGAATATTACTCAGCCATAAAAAGAAACGAAATTGAGTTATTTGTAGTGAGGTGGATGGACCTAGAGTCTGTCATACAGAGTGAAGTAAGTCAGAAAGAGAAAGACAAATACTGTATGCTAACACATATATATGGAATCTAAGAAAAAAAAAATGTCATGAAGAACCTAGGGGTGAGACAGGAATAAAGACCCAGACCTACTAGAGAATGGACTTGAGGATATGGGGATGGGGAAGGGTAAGCTGTGACAAAGTGAGAGAGTGGCATGGACATATATACACTACCAAACGTAAAATAGATAGCTAGTGGGAAGCAGCTGCGTAGCACAGGGAGATCAGCTCGGTGCTTTGTGACCACCTAGAGGGGTGGGATAGGGAGGGTGGGATAGGGAGTGTGGGAGGGAGGGAGACGCAAGAGGGAAGAGATATGGGAACACATGTATATGTATAACTGATTCACTTTGTTATAAAGCAGAAACTAACACACCATTGTAAAGCAATTATACTGCAATAAAGATGAAAGAAAAAATGGGCAAAGGACTTGAATAGACATTTCTCCACAGAAGATATACAAATGGCCAATAAGCATGTGAAAAAATGCTCATCATCACTAATCATTAGGAAAATGCAAATCCAAACCACAATGAGACACCACTTCACACCCAAAAGTATGGCTATTATAAAAAGAAAGAAAGAAAGAAAGAAAGAAAATAACAAGTTTAGACAAGGATATAGACAAATTGGAATCCTTGTGCATTGCATGTGGGAAATGATACAGCTGCTGTGGGAAACAGTATGGTGGTTCCTCAAAAAATTAAACAAGGAATGGTCCATATGACTCAGCAATTCCACTTCTGGGTATATACCTAGAGGAACTGAAAGCAGGGACTTGAACAGATATTTGTACACGCATGTTCATAACATCATTATCATAGTAGCCAAAAGGTGGAAACAACCCAAGTGTCCATCCAAAAATGAATAGATAAACAAAATGTGATATATACATAAAATGGAATATTATTCAATTTTAACTAGGAAGGACATTCTGACACGTGCTACAACATGGATGAGCCTTGAGAACATTATGCTAAGTGAAATAAGCCAGACACAGAAGGACAAATATTGTAGATTCCACTTAAGTGAGGTAGGTAGAGTAATCAAATTCAGAGGCAGAAATTAGGTTATGGGTTGCCTGGGGCTGGGGGGAAGGGGGAAATGGGAGTTACAGTTTAGTGGGTACAGAGTTGCAGTTGGAGAAGATGAAAATTTTCTGTGGCTGGATCGTGTTGATGGTTGGTTGCACAGCAATGTGAACATACTTAATGTCATCGAACCATACATATAAAAATGGCTAAAATGCTAAATTTAATGTTATGTATATTTTGCCACAATAAAAAAGTAAATACAGAGCTCTGATATCAAGTTAATGTTTTTTTCAATTCTTCTATGTCACCATTTTCCTATGAGATGTGACCAAGACAAAAGGAGTTAAAGTTTCTAAACCCAAGGTGATATTTGCGATTTTCCTTGTTCTTTGGATGGTTTTTACTTTAAATAAGTATATCATACTACTCAAGACCTAAGGGTCTGTGACTGTTATTTCCTCCCTTTTTTTTTTTTTTTTTCGCGGTAAGAGGGCCTCTCACTGCTGTGGCCTCTCCCGTTGCGGAGCACAGGCTCCGGACGCGCAGGCCCAGCGGCCATGGCTCACGGGCCCAGCCGCTCCGCGGCATGTGGGATCCTCCCGGACCGGGGCACGAACCCGTGCCCCCTGCATCGGCAGGAGAACCCTCAACCACTGCGCCACCAGGTAAGCCCTTTCCTCCCATTTTTAAAATAAATACAAAAAAATGTATTTTTCCCCATTTCCTTTGTTCCGTTTACAGTTTTCACCTTGAATTCCACTTCGTATGACATTGGATTTATCATCTTTGCTTTCTCTTTTGGCTTATATTTCATTCACTCCTTCCTTCCTTCCTTCAATAAATAACCATGTTCGCCCACTGTGTGTCAGGTTCCAGGTGCTGAGGTAGAGCAGGCAACAAAATATACCAAATCTTTACCCTCCTGGAACTTACATTCTAGTGCAGGGTGAAAGAACATAAAGCGAGATAAATATGAAAACTACGGTCTAGTGTTTTAGGTCCTTCCTATGTAAAGGGTCGCCCACAGATCCAGAGGCACAAGGTGGGAACGGGTTAGAAACGTGGGAACCCACCTTGGATCAACTGAATGGGCATCTGTGTTGTAACAAGTTTCCCAGGTGGATGCATCGGCACATTCCGGATGGAGAAGCACTGCTTACACCCTGATAAATGCGAGGGAGAAAAAGTAGACAGTGAAAGGGGTCGGGAGGCCTCGCTGGGAAGGGGCCCTTGGAGTAGAGGACGTGAGCTCCGCAGATACGCGGAGGAAGAAGCTGCAGCAAACTGTAAGGCAGAGCTAGCAGGTGCAGGAGGCTCCCGAAGAAGCCGACTCATCCTCACTCGGCCTTGATCCCAGGCCTTTTGTTTTGGGTGTGCCCTGGCGGCGCTGTTTGAGCGCAGCGATTTGGGCGGCGCTGCAAGATCTCCTGGCGCTGGGATGCTAGGAGCGCCGTGCGCTGTGCTAACTCGGGGGCACTGGCGAGTAAAGCTTGCTTGCCCAGGGTTTCTGTCTCTCCATAAGAGCTCCCAAGACTTTCTCTTTAAAATGCAACACCGCCCCGCCCCTCCCCTTACACTAGCCAGGCTAGTAACGGGAGAAATACCAAAGCAACCCTTCGGGTTTACCCTTTTCTCTCGGCTTCCTCTACCTAAACGTCCCGCCCTAAGTTCCTCCTCTCATCCCTGCTATCTTCCCCTGTTTTTCCACGCCTGTACCATCGAAACTCTTAGAGGAGTCGTCCAGGCAAGTGGATCTCAAACGGGGCAGAGCGAGAGAATCACCTGTGCCTCCACTGGCCCTCAGTTTCGGAGCAGGAAGACGTGGAGTCCGGCCTGGATCCGCGTCTGACCGAGCCGGGCTCCGCCGCCCAGCCTGGGACCTTGGAGCAGTTACTTGGTCTCGCCACCCTGTCCATTCCTCCGCTGTGAGAAGGAGATAACATGCGCCTCACCGGGTTGTTTTGAGGACCGAGAGAGAACATTTGTAGGAAAGCATTTTGTAAGTGACAGACTGCTAAACACAATGGATTAACTTCAGCTCGCGGATTGCGGCTAAATGACTGATGTCTGGACTCCCCCTTTCCCCCAGCCGTCTTCCAGTTTCTTCTGCACTTGGAATTGCCCTCTCGCCAGGTTATTGCACACGACGTGCTCGATTCTGCATCTCCGGCCACAGGTTTCCCCGGGTAGGGCAGGCCTGGTGCAGAGGAGAGGACTGATTGGCTGGTCGGGAGGTGGGACGAGCGATGACGCGCGGAGCCCGGGAGACTGCGCCGCGGGTGCGCGGGATGCCGGGGCCGCGGAGAGGGCGGGGCGGAAAGGGAGCGGACTGGTCGCGGGGCTGGGCGGGGTGGGGGGGAAGAAGGGGACAGGGACAGGATGGAGAGGAGGGGGAGGGGGGGGGGAGGGGGGGCGCCTTGCTGCGGCCTGGTCAGGGCCGGGTCGTCGCGTCCCGCTGAGGACAGTGTCCCTGGTGAATCCTCTCTGGTCCAGTAGGGGAAGAGGCAGAGCCTGAGCTGCAGGAGGAGGGGGCGCGGGAGAGGGAAGGGCCCGCGGGGGCGCCAGGCCGGGGGCGGGTTTGCAGCCGCCGGCAGAGCTTTGGCGCCTTGCGTCGCCGCGCCAGGAGGTTTCCGGTCACACCACGTCTCTGGGCATGTGGCTTCTTCCCGGGCCGGCTGTTCTCACAGCCGCCGCCCTTCCCTCCCTTGGCTGCTGCCCCGCGTGGGAGGCGAGGGACGTCGGGGTCGTGTCCCCGGCGCTAGTTGGCGGGGCGGAGAGGTGGGGTTTCTCAGTGACCCACAGCGGGACCTCCCGTGGGCGTGGTGCGGGTTTGTGGGCTGTGGAACTGGAGTACAAGGTCACCATGAGGACCCCGGGAGAGGGGTCCCCCTCTCAAAGGGCAGAGGCCCCTTGAAGGGGGTCTGACCTCGGGGTTTGCGAGGGTCAGGGCGGAGGAGGCGTGAGCCTTGAAAGACGGAGGCAATCTGGCTAGTGGAGATGTGGGTGCTCCAGGCCGAGCGAATGCGATGATGGGGGCACGGGCCTGCTGGGGTCGAGGGCTGGAGGAGTGCGAGGCGAGCCGGAAAGGTCCCGGCCCGTCCAGTGCCTGCAGAGTGACCCACGGAGGTAGCCCTTCCCTTCTGGGCCTTCAAGTCCTCATCTGTAGGTGGGACAGTAGCTCACTGTTGTGAAGATTTATAATGTATGTGAAACTAGAGCAGTTCCCAGCATGGCTCTGCTTAATAAACTTAGTCCTTTTCCCTCCTGGAAGGAGAAGAAAGTGAACTTGTGAGGCTTTGCTGGACATTTTACAAACACAGCTAGGAGCCAAATAGAGTTCAACAGAATAGATGTCTTAAGAGTCAAAAGGAGTATGCGCCTGGCCTGAGCCACCATCTGCTTCTGAGATGCACACCCCTTAGGACTATGGTCTCAACTTGCTTAGGCTTCGTCGGGGATCCTTACCTAGCACGACAGAGGGAGTTTACGGGTACTGACTGCATTAGAATGGACAGACACACGCAGCTGGTGACCTCTCTCTCAAAGGGATATAGAACCATCCAGATTATCTTCAGCCAGAATTCCTTGATTTGCAAGTCTATGCTGGGTTCAGGATTCAACGTCATAGGTCTGAGAGGCGGCATCCTAGAGCTGTCACTGCTGAGCCCTGGTCCAAACTTCTGGCACCAGCCAGGCCCCGTGTCCATGATAAAGCCAGGGCTGGGTGACTGGCCTTTGTGCGTTGGGCTTTGTGGAATTTTGACCTCGCTGAGTCGCGGAGGAGTTGAGAAGGTCTTGGCAAGGAGTTTCCATGACTCAGTTTCTCCACCTGTATCCCGGGAGTGAGAATACTGGCTGTTTAGCTTCCCTTAGGTTAGGTGCCATCTTAAATAGCTCCTCCCACGACAAGGCAGTGGTGGGTGGGACGGTCATTTTTGTGGCATGGGAGTGGGTGCAGCCTCCCAGTGAGATCAGTGCTCTGGCATGGCTGAAGCAACATGGAAGGGCCTGGTGGGGAGGGTGGAAGAGCCCAAAGGGAGGGGAGGAGGAAGGTACAGAGGTGTGGCAGACTTGGCAGGGAGAGATGTCATGACACTCCCATGACAGGGGCAGGGTGGGCTGTGTGAATGCCCTGGACAATGGCCAGGACAGGTGAAGCTTCCCCTTGTGGGACTGTGATTTAGGAAGTAGCTTGAGTAATGGGACAGTCAGGGCTGAGCCACAGAATGTGGCCATAAATGCAAATAAGCGTGCACCTTCTTTCCTCTCTCCTACGAGCAGTAGTCAACCCAACGCTCCTGAACCTGGCTCCCACCTTCGTTTCCTTCTCCAGGTGGGCTCTGCTTTGATGACAGGCTCATTCTTGGAGGTAAGCTCTTTCCGCAGAGATTTACATAATGGGAGGCTGAGCAGTCAGCTTTTGATGTCACTGAAATACCCAGTGAAACCTAGTGGCAACTCTGAGTGAGGCCCCTCTTCATTGTGGCCAGGCCATTGTCTCCTGCCCACCGTCCTTCTTAGCATTACCTCTGCCCCTCTCTTCAGCAAGCTCATTTATATCTTTATACCTGCTCTCAGGATACCCCCCTCCCCATGCACACACCTAGAATATTCTCTCCCACTGCAGTCAGTCCTTCTCATACTCAGGGTCTAGTGCAGCCCCACCTCCATCTCCAGTCCTTCCCTGACAGGTCTAGCCTTGTTCTGTGAGCTCAAATAGCATTCAGAGTCATTTCACGTGTTTATATATGATCATGAGTGCCTGCCACTGTTTTATGTTTCTGAATCTTAGCTCCTTATCTGAAATGTGAGTTTCCTGGTGGCAGAGATGCTACCAGATATATGTGCATTTATGTCCTTTTGGAATGTTCCCATCAACCTTTAAGCATTTCCTTACTTCTTGTAAGAATAGTATAAGAATATTCTAGGCACATTTTGTACTCTGAGCCATTTGTCCTAGCAGCACCAATTCTTTTTAGCAGAGAATGATTTAGAAACCAAGATGAGGGTGGTAGGTGTGCTTGTTACATTTGGAGTGTTGCAACTCCCGTGCTTTCTCAGTGGACAGAGCTAGGGATATACACGAGGATACATTTGTAGATTTGCATCTGTACATATATATTTATTTCTATATTGAAAGGTACTGGTGAAAAGAATGAGCTCACGCCAATACCTCCAGTTCCAATCTGGTATCAAAAGATTCATTCTAGTTTCCTCCCTTTCTTTATTTGTAACTCTTTTCTCCAACAGGGAGAAATCTGGTTTACATTATCTGTAATATGGCTACTTACTGATCACCCCCTTTTTATGTAACTGATTCCCACTGCCACAGGTACCCCTTCCCTCTATGGATGGCATCCTCACCCCCTTGAACTCCAGCACCTCACTCACACACCGTCGCCTTCCTCACCCTTTTCAGGATCTGATACTCTGTGCCACACCCCCTCCTTCCTGCTTGGACTCTGTCCTCCACATGCTTGGGTTTTAACATCCCACACTGGGGCACTCCTCAATACCCCCGTGGGTTCTCCCACCCTCCTCAGTGTCTGGGACCTCACACTGTCACCCCCTGAACCTGAAGCCGAATCTGGCCTCTGTACCCCAACACCAAATTGAATCTCGGAGTTTTGGGTGAAGTAGAAACGAATAGCTTTATTGCTTTGTCAGGCAAAGGGGGCCACAGTGGGCTAATGCCCTCAAAACCATGTGTCCTGACCTGGAGGGGGTAGTGAGGAGATTTACAGTAATGGTTCAAAGAGGGCATGATCAGCTCATGGACAATCTTCTGACTGGTTGGTGGGGAGGTAAGTGGGAGTCGGCATCATCAACCTTCTGGTTCCAACCGGGTCTGGGGTCTACATGCTTGTGGGCAGCATACCATTGTCAACCGTTAACTTCTCCCACTTACTTGGTGTTTCAGTATCTGCAAAACAGCTCAAAGATATTGTTCTGTGTATCCCTTGTTGGGGAACCAGGACCCTGCCCCGAGGCTGCACTATTGTTCCTCTTGACTGTTCCTCCCTTGTCTCCCAACCCCTCCCTTCCCTGATCAACAACTGTTTGAACCTGCCTATTGGAACTCAGGGAGCGTCATGGAGGCTGAGTGAAGCCTATTTCCTGTAATCAAAGAAATGGGGGACAAGAAAGGCTTTTGTGCCCAGGAGCCCCACAGGGTCTTGCTCGGTATCAGACTTAGCTGCCCTTCTAGCCTCATGCAGATGTCCTTTCCACCTCCTTGGGGTGAAGTGGAGGCCCGACATCCCAGTCTAAACCCCTCCAACCCCCATGTGGACACCTGTTTTTCTAGGCTTCACCCAATGGCTTTAGGACCAAGTTATTCAGGAATGAAAAGGTAAGAGGAAGAGGCACATGCTAAATTTTTAGTCTCAGCTTCCTCATCAGTAAAATGAACTTAATAATCATAATAATTAGGAAAATGCAACTTAAAACCACAGTAAGAGATACCATCATACACCTATTACAATGGCTAGAATTAAAACATCTAATACAGTTCCGCTACGGTGAGAGCTACATGAGATAATGTACAGAAGTACTTCCTCAGCACAGGGCTTGCCAGCACTCAGTGTCAAAGGCCATCATTATTACTACGAATTAACGTTCCCATTGTTTTGCATCATTTGGCAGGAATACAATGGAGACCTATGGAAGAGAATTAAGCAGGAGGAATGGGTGCCAATGGCAGATGTATCAAGACGGGGGGGACTGTTGCCTCTTTGTTAAGAGAATGAAGACACTCATCATATCAGCTAAGTTCAAGTATGTAAGTAAGGAGAAGAAACGGGGAGGAAACATCCAGTATGTTGAGTGGTTATCTTTTTGGTGGGATTATTTGACTTAACTTTTTTTTTTTTTTTGCGGTACGTGGGCCTCTCACTGCTGTGGCCTCTCCCGTTGCGGAGCACAGGCTCCGGATGCGCAGGCTCAGCGGCCATGGCTCACGGGCCCAGCCGCTCCGCGGCATGTGGGATCTTCCCGGACTGGGGCACGAACCCGCGTCCCCTGCATCGGCGGGCGGACTCTCAACCACTGCGCCACCAGGGAAGCCCTGACTTAACATTTTTTAATGTGTTTTCCAAAATGTAGTCGATAAATATTATTCAGGCTTAGACAGAAACATTTTAGAGGGACTCTGCTTAACTTCAACTTAACTAAATGAAAACTGCTCTCAGCCTGAGGGGTTGGTTGTGCCTTTTTCTTCTGCCTGGTAGGTTCTGGAGTCAAGAGTGCCTGGATTCAAACTCTGGCTCTGCCATTTACTAGCTGGGTGACCATGGGCAAGTTAATGAACTTCTCTGTGCTTTTGCTTTTTGTTTTGTGAAGTGAGGAGCCTTACAGTGCCTAATTCAGGGTTACTTAACAATTAAATGAGTTAATGCTTCTAAAGCACCGACCCAGGGTAAGCACACAAAAATGTTAGCTTTTAATGTTATTATTATTCCATGGGACAGAATGTAGTGAGTGGTTCCTCAGATGTCTCAGAGGAAAGAATAGCCTCAGCTATGCCTCCCCCCGAGTGAGTATCTTGTGACTAACCCAGAGACCTCAGGCAGCTGAGCCTCCCGTGGGACATCAAGCAGAGGCAAGGGTGACAAATTAAAGCAGGGGAAGTGTTTTCCTCCCTTCTTGGATGGGATCCAAAGAGATCAGTTTCTTAACTGATGCAGCATCCTGACCTTAGGACACTGGGACTGGCACCCACAGGACAAATGATACAGCTCTGTCTGAGCTGATGTCCAATTTGGGATTCACTCATGCATTCGCTCGTCTAGCTGTCAATTTCATATATATTTATTAAATGCTTGCTATGTGTCAGGCACTGTTGTAGGCAATGTAGTATACAACCATTCAGATGCAATTAATTGAAATTACATTTAAAAATTAAAAATGCAATTAATAAGGGACTCAGACATCTGTATACCCATGTTCATAGCAGCGTTATTCACAATAGTCAAAAAGTGGAAGCAACCCAAGTGGTCACTGATGGGTGAATGGATAAACCAAATGTGGTGTATACATACAAAAGAATATTATTCAGCCTTAAAAAGGGGGAAATGCTGTCGCGTCTACAACATGGATGAACTTGAAGACGTTATGCTAAGTGAAGTAAGTCCGTCACAGAAGGACAAGTGTTGTCTGATTCATTTGAGGTGCCCAGGGTAGTCAAGTTCATAGAGACAGAAAGCAGAATGTTGGTTGCCAGGGGCTGGGAGGAGTGCGGAGAAGCGAGGAGTTAGTTTTTAATGGGTAGGGAGTTTCAATTTGGGATGATGAAAAGAGTTCTGGAGACAGATGGTGGTGATGGTTTCACAATAAAGTGAATGTACTTAATGCCACTGAACTGCACACTTAAAAACAGTTAAAGTGGTAAATTTTATGTTGTGTATATTTTACCACAATTTCTTTTTTTGCAGTACGCGGGCCTCTCACTGTTGTGGCCTCTCCCGTCGCGGAGCACAGGCTCCGGACGCGCAGGCTCAGCGGCCATGGCTCACGGGCCCAGCCGCTCCTCGGCATGTGGGATCCTCCCGGACCGGGGCACGAACCCGCGTCCCCTGCATCGGCAGGCGGACTCTCAACCACTGCGCCACCAGGGAAGCCCTACCACAATTTTTAAATGTGAAAAATTATAGCTATTCCACTTTAAATAGTGGAGTAAAGAGTAGAAATTACGTTCATGAAAAGACTTCCCTAACAGGTTTAGTTTTTACAATTTGTTTTCTTTTAAAATTTCTTGGAGACTTCACCAAACAAGATGTGTGGATGGCAAATAAGCACGTGAAAAGATGCTCAGCATCATTAATCATTAGGAAAATGCAACTTAAAACCACAATAAGAGATACCATCATACACCTATTACAATGGCTAGAATTAAAAAGATTGACCATACCAAGTATTGACAAGAATGTAGAGCGATTGGAACTCTCATACTTTACTGGTGAGAATGTAAAATGGTACAACCCCTTTTGGAAAACAGTTTGACAGTTTGTTAAAAAAGTTGAACATATTCTGCCATATAATACAGCCATTGCACTTCTACATATTTACCCAGGAGAAATGAAAGCATACACTCATACAGACAGGAAACAACACAAATGTCCATCAGCAGATAAATGGATAAACAGACTGTATTATATGCATACAGTAGAATACTACTCAACAATAAAAAAAGGACGTACTACTGCTGTTACATGGATGAATCTCAAAATAATTACACTGGGTAAAAAAAGCCAGGGAAAAGAGATCATATACTGTATGATTACGTTTATATAAAATTCTAGAAAATGCTAACTAATATATGGTGACAGAGCCAATCGGTGGTTGCCTGAAAATGAGAGAAGGGTTGGAGAGGGCAGGAGGAAGAGATTATCAGGGGACAACAAAGAAATTTGAGGGGCTGATAGATAAATTTATTATCATTTTTTAAAAGATTTATTTATTTATTTTTTGGCTGCATTGGGTGTTAGTTGCGGCACACGGGATCTGCATTGAGGCGTGCATGCTCTTCATTGCTTCTCTCTAGTTGTGGTGTGTGAGTTTTCTCTTCTCTAGTTGTGGTGCACAGGCTCCAGGGCACGTAGGCTCTGTAGTTCATGGCAAGCAGACTCTCTAGTTGAGGCGCGCAAGCTCAGTCGTTGTGGTGCGCAGGCTTAGTTGCCCCGTGGCGTGTGGGATCTTAGTTCCCTGACCAGGGATTGAACCTGCGTCTCCTGCATTGTAAGGCGTATTCTTTACCACTGGACCACCAGGGAAGTCCCTAAATTTATTATCTTGAGTGTGGTGATTCTTTCACGGGTGTGTACGTGTCAGAGCTAATCAAACTGTATACTTCAATGTGTGCAGTTTATTGTATGTCAATTATACATTAATAAAACTGGTAAAGCCAGTTTAAAAAAGAATTGTAATGCACACAAAAAATGCAATAACGGGCAGGACGATGAAAATCATAGAGTTCTATGGGGCTGTGCATGCAAGTGGTAGAGGCCAGGTGGGGCTTCACAGAAGTGACCTGAGGACAAGTAAGTGTTGTCAGGCAAAGCGTGGGATTGCGGATGGTGTTTCACATTGAGGAAGAAATGGGTGCGATGACCCACAGGCAGGGGAGAGCCTGAGCTGAAACTCCGTGTGGCTAGAACTCAGGCCGTAGGGGACAGTAGAGAAATATGAGGCCAGAGAGCACAGCAGGGGACCAACTATGAGTGTAGATTTTCTCCTGGAGTCAATGGAGAATGACTCCAGGCAAGCAGAGGGTTATCACTTGTGCAGTTTAGAAAGATTCTCTGGCTGCAGTCTGGGTATTGAGCTGGGGAGGAAGCAGAGTGCAGGCAGGAAATCAGGTATTAGGTAAGGAGGGCTGAGGATGTTTGACTGGCGGGGAATGACCCAAGACTAGAGCTGCTGGGATATGCCACTTCCCTTCAACTTTTCAACAGCCCGGGGAGTTAGGAAATTTTATCTCAGCTTTGCAGAAGAGGAAACAGACTTGAAGCAGTTAAGTAACTTGGTTACGGTCACAGAACTCCTGAGAAGGAGATCTGGGGTTTCCGGTCTGATGGGTTCTGAGTCCAAAGTCCCTAATGCTCACAGGCTTCTCTCTAATTTTAATAAAAGGCATCTGGGATGACTCTCCCCTCTCTTACTGCCTACTTTTCTCACCCTCACTGTGGTTTGTTCCATGAATGTCTTCCCCTGGGAGGAGGCAGGGTGCCACGGGAACATGTAACAGAGGATGTAATGTCGTCCGGGCAGTCAGGAGAGGGAGGCTTCCTGGAGGAAGGGACATGGCAGCTGAGCCCTGAAGAATTGGAAAGAGAGGGAAGAGCTAGTAAAGGAACATGCTGGGGGAGTGGGGCATGAGAAGGACAAGGTGTTCTAGAATGGAGAGAAGAGCATGTGGGAATAAACTCCAGCATGGCATGCTGGAATAACTGAGCTTCAGAGCACCTGAGTGATGGCGTGAGAGGCAGAGAGGCACATCCGACAGATTTTTAGCTCTCTGTGTAGCAATTTAGAGAATGGAGCGGATGGGAGGGAGACCAGTAAGGTGAACCCTGTTGCTTTGATGGTGAAATCCTGCTCGCCAGGCATCTGCTTTTTGTGGTTACCATGGAAACATCAGACCGCAGACGCAGAAGCCTCTAGTCAGCCCCACTTATTAAAGATGATGAGACTAAGTCCCGCAAGATGGAGAAGAGGTTTGTTTGCGAGCTTTCCTACTGGCAGCATGGAAACCTTTTTTTAATTTTATTTTTTAAAAATTTATTTTACTTATTTATTTTTGGCTGTGATGGGTCTACGTTGCTGAGCTCAGGCTTTCTCTAGTTGCAGCGAGTGGGGTCTACTCTTCATTGCGGTGCGCAGGCTTCTCATCATGGTGGTTTCTCTTGTTGTGGAACACGGGCTCTAGGTGCACGGGCTTCAGTAGTTGTGACACGCGGGCTCAGTATTTGTGGCTTGCGGACTCCAGAGCACAGGCTCAGTAGTTGTGGCACACGGGCTTAGTTGCTCCGTGGCATGTGGGATCTTCCCGGACCAGGGCTCGAACCCGTGTCCCCTGCATTGGCAGGCGGATTCTTAACCACTGTGCCACCAGGGAAGCCTGAAACCTTTTTTTAAAAATATGTATGTATAGTGATAAAATATACAAAATATAAAATGTATCATTTTAGTCATTTTAAGTATATGGTTCAGTGGTAGTACATACGTTCACAATATCCATCACCACCATTTATCTCCAGAAATGTTTCATCTTCCCCAAC